TATATGACAATAATAATAAATGTTATTGACAGTCTGCATGTTTGTGTCACGGCTGGGGCAGCAGTCGTGTGGTGTTGTGAGAAAAGGACCCAAAATGCAGGTACTGGCTGGTGTGCGAGTGAGCGTTTATTTACACTGACCGCAAAGTTACAAAAACAGGAAATAAGGACTAGGGAGCTACTAAAACCTAGGCTGTGAAAAACTAATAAACAAACCTAAAAACATAAGGACACGGGGATGATACGTGGAGATGACATGAGAATGCAGGGCAGAGAGACGTGGAGTAATACTAAATAACACAGACGGCGAGACAACGAACACAGGCAGGCACACACTATATACACACAAGGTAACGAGGGAATGACACACCAGAGGGGAACACAGCTGAAGCTAATTAGACACGACGAGACACAGACCTTCAAAGTAAAACAGGAAATTCATAAACTGTTCTACAACGCAAACTCAGGGACACGAACAGAGCACAGGGGGAAGAACACAGGTAGGAATAATAAAACACTAACCACAAGAACCAAACCCTAAGAACTAATACAAAATCAGAGGAAACTAGAATATAATGACAATAAACTCGACTGGGTCAGCCATCCAGGACCATGACAGTTTAGGAGCAAGTAGAAGAGAGCCTGGAAAGGTGGAGGTATGCACTAAGAAAAAAAGAGGGATGAAGGTCAGCAGAAGCAAGACATACGTGTGTGAATAAAAGGAAGACAGGTGGAAATATGAAGATGCAAGGGGCAGAGGTAGTGAAAATGAATACGTTTAAATACCTGAGACAGTCCAAAGAAATGGACAAGAAACAAGAGAGGTAAGGAGGAGAGTGGGTGGAGATGAGTGTCTCGGATGATTTGTGACAGAAGGATAGCAGCAAGACTGAAAGGGAAGGTTTACACGATGGAGACCTGCTATGATGTATGGATTGGAGATGGTGGCTCTGAAAATAAGACAGGAGGCAGAGCTGAACATGATTTTCACTGGGAATGAGCGGGATGGACGGGATTAGAAATAAGTACATCAGAGGGACGGCTCGGTGAGCGGTTTAAAGACAAAGTTGGAGAGGCAAGGGTGAGATGTGCATATATGCGTATGCAGAGGTGGGATAGTGGATATATTGGTTGAAGGAGCTGCCAGGCAGCAGGAAAAGAGGATGACCACAGAGATTTATGGATCTAGTGAAGGAGGACATGCAGAGGGTTGATGTGACGAAAAAGGATGTTAGAGATAGAGCAAGTCACTGTGGTGACCCCTAAGTGGTGCAGCCAAAAGAAGAAGAAGACGTTATATTAACTCTGGGATTTAAAAAAATACAATGAAGTCTTTTGAATAATAGGTGTTAATCAGCATATATTTAAAAATTCAGCCCTAATGAGACAATTTTAACATTGTTCTTCTTTATTTAAATGATGAGGTCTCAAATAGTTTATCTGTGTAAGTACTAAAGTTTAGGACAATTTAAAACATTTAAACAGCCATGCTGAGACACTCTCAATCTAAAAATCGTTAATATTAACACCAAAATGCATTTCAACAGAGTACTGTAAAGTCTGTCTCTCTATGGAAGTGCTCACCATTAAGCCATTTTCAGATATGGGATATTTAACATAGCTTAATTTATCATCAATCATTCTGTCATTCAGACATAATTAATTTTTACATACTGTCCCTAATGGCTTTGAACATGATAGAAAGAGGAGCGGAGTGCACACAATATTTGCCGTATGCATTAGAGCATCCTCACTCTGCCCAGGTTATTCCCTAATTGGTGTTTGGAGATGCTGCTGCGGAGGTGAAAGTGGTGAGAGAAGAGAAAGACATCAGAAATTCTCTAAATAAGTGATTTTGAGTCATCTTGATAGGCTTCCACTCTGCACAGCCTAGTCTTTCCTTTCCTAGTTCCTTGCCTCTCTACAAACTCTGCCCCATTTTGCTCCAGGATATAGGCACCCTATTGTTGAGTTGATTAGCAATTAAACTGTTAATTAGGATAATGTATAGGTTAGAACCAACAATTTATGCCAGAGACTGTTGTTTGTGAGGGGTCTTATTGAGGGTCTGGTAAATCCCCTTCTTTAATTTTATCACCTATGGATGATAAACAGAGGACACGAAGCTGCCATTATAAGCTTATGACAGACGGCCACAGCTTACGAGTCTGAAAAATAAAGCTAACCTGATCTTAATAAGTGTCTTAAAACTGCATCTTTTTAAATGGCCAATAGGGGGTGACTGCCAGTTACACAAAGACTCGAGATCATTTAGAAGTTATGAGAAAAAGGCACAACATTTTTGAAGAGGGACCAAAAAAATCTGTTGAAACTGAGGTTCAAATTCTGCTATTAAGTAACAAATACAGCAGACACAGTAAAAGTAGTTTCCCTGAAATCCCTTTACCCAGTAATGATACGTGTTCAACTCAGCTCTTATTGATCCTAGTAACCATGTCCTTGAACTGGTAATGGCTTAATGGAATTGCATCTACAATATTGTTAGACTTTCAAAGGGAACACACACATACTGTCCATAACAGACTGGGGCTGTATTGATTCTACTTTATTAGATGACAGGGATTACGATGATTTTAATAATGACTGACATAGTACAAAGTTGAAGGAGCTTAACAACATAACTGAAGAGAAATTATTTTTTTTATTTTGTTCATTTTTTTACCTTTATTTAGGCAGGAAAAAATACGACTCTTGAGGGAAAAAATAAAAAAATGAGTCTGAAAAAGTGTCACACACACACACACACACACACACACACACACACACACACACACACACACACACACACATCTAAATCTACATACTAGTTGAATATGGGCAATAAATATTAAAATAAAATACAGAAAGAACCAATATTTTTAAACTTCAGTGTCAATAAAGAAGAAATACCTTAATAAAAGTAATTGGCTATAACCAGAATCATCCATAATAGTGTTCAGGCATGAAGTAACTGTATCCAAATCATTTAAAATCACTTGAAGTTAATTCAGTGAGGTTGTCCTTAAGCTTGAGATGATTCTGTAGATGATTGCACAAGAGAGGAGCTGCAAATTTGAATGCTCTTTTTCTAATTTCAGAGCGAACTTTGAAGAGAAAGAATGAATCTCGGGACCACAAAAATCCCAAACTCTTCTGATGAATACAAATCAGCAAGTGTAGTGGCAGTAAACCAAGAATAGACTTATAAATAAGAATATAGCATATTTCAGCATCTTCTACGGAACCTTAGTATGAGACTCCCAGCTGTAAAAACATTAGGAAACTGCCCAAACAAAGCTCACAAATGTCATGAAAAAGCCCATCAACAGTCTATTGTTGTACATTTCAGTCTTCAGCGTCACCACTGACATTCAGACCAGCAGTGCCAGGATAAGGATCTTACTCTACGAGGAGGGTCAACGTGGTTCAATGTGAAAAGCGGCTTCAGGGTTCGCCAACTTGTCGAGCCATAGCAGGTACATTTAATGACAAGTTTGGTTCATATTACGGGCGCCAACATGAACCCAAAAACGACACCCTCACCTGCCATGTGTTGCTAACACTCTCTTATGCCACGGAAAAGTGTTGCAGACTGCAGTGCCAGTCAAAGGTAAACAGATGTAGTTTATAAAACTATGTGATTTGGAAGCAGTCAAAAAAGTGGGAAATACACCATGAAATTGAAACATGTTTTGAAAGTCATTTTCATAACTGCATGTATAACTGTAATCAGCATCTGCGACAACTAAAATGTGAGAGCCTCCTGCAGGTGCACACGTAAAACAGCTAAGAATGGATACGCAGAAATCCAAATATCCAAATTCAAACTCATAATAGAAAAATATCATAAATTGAAAAAGGCAAAACAAAACACTCTTATTTAACTTTGCTCACATAATCTCTCTTGCACCCTCCCTGACACACAAATGTTGTGCATACGCACACACACACAGATGGCCCTGTGAAAGCCTTTATTGATTGGACTGCAGGACAGAGGGAGGACACAGCAGTGGAAAAATACATGCCAAAATAATTTCCTAGACAGCTGGCCCTAACCAGCCGATCAACTGTCTTAACCTATTAGAATAAGGTGTGGCTGAGAGATACATTTGGCACAGTGATGTTTATTTGATTTTCAGTATGACATTGTTCAAATGTACAAATTCCTGTGATACAATGCAGGGAAACACAGTCCCTCACACGACTGCTGCACTTAGCTCAGGGTAGGTGTTTGGCAGCGTCCAGGCTTGCAGTATGTAATCTATCACAGGCAGACCATCTACATTAGTGCCTGGCAAGAATGAGGGTTAGTGGAGAGGGGTGCAAAAGCGCTGGCACAGAACAAAGATGTGGCCTAGTTTGCCCTTACAGATGTGTGCAGTGGAAAGATCAAAGCTCCGCAGTGCATCGCGTGCTCACAGAATAAAGAATCAAAATTGTTACCTCATGAAGAAGAAGAAAATATATAACGCTGCATTTACCAGAGCAAAAGCACGATGGGGTCTGTGTTTAAAATGAGTTGCCACGCCCATACTGTTTGTTGGTAAATTACTCTTCCCTAATTCCTCTCAAGTGGCACAGCAAGATCTAATAGTCATCCACAATAATAACATCAATAGCCATTAAACAAGACCAGTGATTCAGTCTGGAACCCATTTGGGAAATTTCTAAACGAGTCATCAGACTTTTCTCCATCTCACAGGACAGGCCTGGCCCGGTCGTTCTCCCATCTGTCAACAGATTTCCTCCATGCATATACAAACTGCATAGCAAAGTCATTACACCCCTCAGAAAAGCCAAATGTAAGTGTATGAACGCTAAGGAAAAACCACCCTCCGAATGTTATATTTAGCCTGCATGGTCTGGTAACTTCCTTTATGTTCTCCAGACTCAATCATAAACACTTCAGAGTCCCACAATAGTTGGCAGAATTGAAACGTGACAATTATACTTCGATTTGCTCAAATGGGTGGAAATGACTCAGTAAAGGCCAAAACTTACCAAATGAGTTTTCGAGGTTTCCGTTTACCCTAAAAAAAAAAAAAAAAAAAAAAAATTCAAGGTTAGCGGCAAAAGTTTTGATAATTGTTTGTGGCTCTTAACAGCATTATAACTTTAATTAGGATAGAGAAACAAAGAAAAAAAAACACATTAAATTACTTTATTTGCATTATCTTTCACTCTACATGTGTCACCTGCTAAAATAACACTTCTCCATAGACTTTCATTTCTTTACTTATTATTCTGAACCCTCCTCCCTTCTCCTCCTCAACAACGGATGTTCTCTAAAAAAATTTCCACATGCTCTGACGTTCTGACAGCAAGGACGCTTTTTAATTAAGCCAGGCTTCAAACATAATCTAAACAAACAAGGGAAACTACAAACAAACAACAAGTCCAATTACAGCAGTGTTAAAATGCAGGGCAAAGAAGCATTAGACTACCACAAATAGTGGGAGGAAATGGGAGGAGGAGGAGGAGGAGGCGGAGGAGGAGGAGGAGGAGGCGGAAGAGGCTTCTTTGATCCATGCTTGGAGATTCAACTTCAACGCCGCTGCTTAGTTCAACAGGGATTCGTATTAGTGGTCCTGTTGGTAATCAAAAGGCCTCGTTCACTGCTGCAGTCCAAGAAATCCTTTACACATTACAGTAACAAATATCACAGCGGGATTGCATCAGAGCCCCGAGGATGAAACATATTTGAAGGGGGACCAAAAAAATCAATCCAGAAAGAGGTTCAAATTCTGCTATTAAGTGACAAATACAACAGACAGAGGAAAGGTAGTTTCCCTGAATCACCTTCTTTATGGGGTAACGCCATGTGTTCAACTCTTATTGATTCTACGAACCCTGCCCTTGAACCGGTAATGGCTTAATGGAACTGCATCTATAATATTGTTTGACCATGAAAGGGAACACACGCATATTGTCCATAACAGACCTGGGGTGTATTGATTCTACTTATTAGATGACAGGGTTGCGAGCTGTCAGAAGGGATTCCGGTGATTTCTGCTGTTTCCGGTGTGTAACATTTGGGACACGGAACACACACACACACAATCCGAATTAAAGTCTTCCCTAGGAGGGAGCAGATGTGATGTTTTCTTATAAATGAAACAATATCCGTCAGGTTGCTGTACTGTTATTGGATTGTCTTAATGCCAGAGGCCATGTCAAACTGTGCCATTACTCCACGACGGTAAAAATGAGTAACTATGAAAAAGTGCCTCGAGCCATGTCTACCCAACTATTGACCCAAATGAGAATTTCCGGCGTGTCACCGACATTCAGGCTTTAAAGTACTGTGAGTCCATCTGCACTTATCTGTGTGTTTGTGTGCTTTAGCCTTGCTAACAGTGAGCTGATTGGTTGGCAAGGTTAATACAGATTCATAATCTAAGCTACACAGCTGCAAACCCCTTACTTATAGGATGGTTTAACGCTGGTATGTATGTGTGTGTCAGTCTGCGTTTAATCTTCATGTGTGCTTATAGACATGATTTTTTGTGCGGGCTCGTCTCCCACATTTGAGCAGCACTGCATGTTCCCTGTAATCTGGTTTACAGGAAACACTCCACAGCCAAACACATGGTCGATTCCCCCTCCCGGTCCTATCATTAGCCTGGGGCCTAATCCTTAGTTATAATTCAGATGATGGGCCCTGTCAGTGGGGGCCCGCTAATAAGTCACATAAATCACAGTGTGAAACTGAGGCTGGGTCCAGGGCCAGCGGAGTCAGCCATTTTCCTCTTCTGCAGGCAGAGAGATCTTCATGTTGCTTGATTACCAATAAGGGCCAATGAAAAGGGCAGTTACACCCTCCCCTCCCTGCACACACATGCAGAAAGAGTGGTAATCTAAAGCTGTTCATGCTTTGAATACTGAGCACGGTGAGATACCAGAGGAGTGCAGCCGAACAGTGGGGGAGATTATTTGTTATCGTGTGTTGAATGCTGCACAGCCGTTTACTTTTCTCATGTCAACATACTAAGGACGAGGAAGAAAAACTATTTGAAAAGGATATAATAATATTTTTTCTTATCATCTGCTTTTATTTTTCAGTGCCTAATTGGTTTAGCCAATCCATTTTGGAATCATGACATTGAATCACCTTGACACATGCTCAGGCCGTTGTATTTGTTTGTCATCATGTAGAAAAGGGCCATGTGTTAGGAAAGCCGTGGTCTGATATGGGATTATCACAGCTCTGTGGCAGGCGAGGAATGCCTGTGGATTAAATCTCACACCAGATTAATCCAGGACAATCTGCTATGACTTGATTTTGTACAACAGGATTATTTTGACATATGCTTTTCCTATTAGAGATCTTAAACTTCATTTTGGAGATTAACACAGCAGATTTGTGACTAACCTATATGGAATCATAGTATAAGCATCGTCTTGTCTATAAAGATCAGGTAATTAAATTACTACAAAGTGTTATACCTCTGTAATAAATAATACATTAAGTTCCTTCATTGTAGATATGGTCTGACCCAAGGGTGTGAGTTAGCCATTGTCACGATGAGGCAGACGGTGTAGAGAGGAGAGGATGTGGACCCAAATGCAGACACAGAGATTTAACAAAAAGTCTTTATTTTGAGCTGCAAAAAACACCAAAAACAAATGGTGACGGGAGATTGCAAAAAAGTAACAAAAACCTAAACTGGGAAACACTGGGAACAAGTATAAAGAAAACAAGAACCTGAGACGAGGGCCTGAACATGAAACTCAGAGATCAGGGCCATGGACTCTGGAACACAGAAAACGCAGAGGATGAAATGCAAATGAACCAGCAACAAACAGAGGAAGCCACAGGGCTTAAATACAGAGAGGCATAATGAGGGAATGAGACAACGGAGGAGAGCACAGCTGGAATTAATCACACATAACCAGACAAAGGGGAAGGGGAAACTCAATATACTGAACATGGTACAAGGACTATCAAAATAAAAGAGCAAGCATGTCAGTGCAAACAAGACACGCGAGTTTACCACGGAGACTGGGGGAATGAAAACAGAGACAAGACTAGACACTGAGACATGGAGACAAGAGTAACTAAACGCGGAACCACAGAAACCAAGAGACTAGAAATTCTAAATAATAATGACAGCAAAGACTATTAATCAGGGGTGTCCAAATCCAGTCCTCGAGAGCTATTGTACTGCAACCTTTAGACACATCCTTGTTCCAGCAAACCTGAATCAAATGCCGGCTTGTTATCAGACCTTGCAAAACTTGATGGCATGCTGAAGAGGTAATCCAACCATTTGATTCAGCTGTGTTGGAGTAAGGATGCATCTAAAAGCTGCAGGACAGTAGCTCTCGAGGACTGGACTTGGTACCCCTGCTATTAATAATACAAAACACTGGGTCACCGATCCAGGACCATGACAGCCATTAAGTTTCTAATACGGTTTAAGTAAGAGTTCAAGGAGGATGGTGAAGAGAAGAAAAACTTAGGGAAAACATGTTGGGTTAGCATTTACATGACTTTCAGTGAATCGATCTATGAAAACGTAACACATCCTCTGTAATCCATTGCAAATTTCAGCAATCACTCAAACACGTTTACAAAATTTTTGACAGTTAACAGCAATAATAACCTGAAATCCAGATTCTAGTGGTAAGAGCAATGTACATAGGCAGAAGTGCACCAAACCCAAGGCAAAAAGTTTGTAATGGAGCCTTACATTGGCATACATTGCCAAGTATAAAGTATGCAGAGCCCAAACACATTACTTGAAAAGTTTGTATCAATGTCAGTTTATTGTAAGTGGAGAAATTAGGGCAGGCAGGGTGCCTTAGCATCTGCTTTGTATTACCTCTTCTTTCAGCCACTCCTTTTAGGGGTCCCCACAGCGAATCACCTGCCTCCATCTCATCCATTCCCTAGCATCACTGTCTGTTATCAACCCTCTGCATGTGTTTTGTAATACCACTATTTGTTCTTATTTGTTCAATCAAATCCCCTTTACATACAAAAAAGCAAACTTTTATGTTTAAAATGGCTTATTTCAACTTGAATTAATAGTAACATATAGTTGATATTTAGTGATGCTTTTTATAATTTATTAGAAATGTATGAGAAATATTTAAAAATATAACGTATATTTCTCTATACTGCACAAATTATACATGCACTCAAGCTTTTATTGCATACACAAATGTGTGGGAGTTTGTGTGCTTAAAATTTGAGCTTGCACTAATGCACAGCAATGTGGGACTTTATTTTTAAACTCATCTATTGTACAGGACTCTGACCATTAAGCACCTAAGACTCAACTGAACTGTCCTCCCATCATTTGACAAAGGCTTACATAATGCTTCATGCTATAGCAGGCAATAAACATATCCTCTATCTATATCTATAGCCTCCATTGTTATAACTTCCCCACTCATTCATCATCATCTTCCATATAAATATGCCTGAACTGATAGCAAAGTGGTGCTGTACCAAAACCTTCATTGTGATTGCTCTGGTCACTAGCGAAAGATGCAGTATAACTTTTAGTTCGAAAAGTCTCCATTTCCATTTTGCACCATACTGTTTCAAGTTTCAATACAGGTCGGAGAATATGTGACGACTGTTTCTAGACAAGTCAGCATCTTCCATGCAGTTCTGGGAATCTTCCAGCAACCAATCATAAGGAGCGTTTTGGTACAGCGCCCTCTTTAGAACTCTTTAAAACTTTAGAACACCGACTGTTTAAAGAATGAGGTTGCGACTAGAAAGGCTGTGTGAATGGGGCCTTGTTCATTTGGCAGACAAGTTAAGCCAGATTTTGCATTTGCATTGATCCTGTATTTACTGCTATCTTATGACTGTAGTTGGGTGTTGTCTCTCAAAACTATGGCTTGGCTACCTACCATTGAATCTGCAGTGCCAAGTAGCCAAGCACAGTTTCAGATAAACATTTTAATGATCACGTCTTTATACTGTGTATTTTAAACACTTCATATGCAAAGTAATAATTATAATACACCTAACATTTTGTAGGCACAGGAAGCTGAAGTAGAACAAAATTACAAAAT